CCCCAAAACCCCAAAACCCCAAAACCCCAAAACCCCTTTGGGAAGGATCTAGGTTGAATTATTTGGAGGAAGGGGATGAAGAGAGGGATTTGAGAGGTTGAGGAGGAAATTTTTGGGGAGTGGTGATTTGGAGGTTTGGGGAATTAAATTTCTGTGGATGTTTTAGTTAGAAATTTTGGAGAGAAACTAGTAAGATTTGAAGGGAACTTTAGAAATTAAAATTCCACTATCTGATATCCGAATTTTAATCAAAAATTTCTTATTTTCTATGCTTGACATAAATCGTGCCAAATAATTATTCAAACATCGAAATAGCATTATTTTTCTTCTTCTGTTTCAATCTCTCTACCAAATAAAGGTTCTCATCTCTCATTGTCCTATACATCCATCACAGTCCCTTTCATAACTCTAAGGCCTATTTATTCTTCTTAAAATCTCTAACTCCTAGCTCGCCTAGCTAGCTTCCTTCGAAACAAGCTTACATTCAATCTGGATGATAAAACTTCATATTTATCCCTTTTGGATTCGATTCTTTAGCTTCATTTTTTGCTATAAATTATCAAAAGGTAGCCTTAAGCCCTGCGTTCGCTCATTTAGCTTATTTTTACCCTCAAAATCCTGTACAGGATACTTACAGTCGTCCTCAATAGCAATGGGGCAAACACCTCTTCTTAACGGTGCATTCTATATTAGCATCAAAAATCATAGTAATGGAGTGATCTGGTTTGGGATTAAAGAATATAATCAGGGTGGTACTTAGAGCTAGCTATTAATATTGCCACATCGGTTACGATATCAAACTCTCAGAGCTTCTATATAATTCCACTAGAGATATTTATTCTCAGTCGACCTGGTCAGGTTCCAATTACTTACACTGAGTTCTATATTGTTAGTAGGGTCAGATTATTTTTAGTCAGTGGCCATATTTTGGTGCATCACTTACCTATTAAATTAGAGTCTCAAACTGAAGTATGAGATGTAGCATTATCCAGATTTTCTGCTAAACCTTGTGACTTTGAGTTTTTTGGATCTTTAAGACCAACATGAAGCTTAGGAAGCCTAGAGGTTGGACATCATATTGTATTTCCCATTTTTATAACGAATCAAATATATCCACAATAAGCGGGGTTTTGGGGTTTTGGGGTTTTGGGGTTTTGGGG